CAATCACTAAAAAAAAAAAAATGTTATATTCCAACGAAAAGTCCTATTTCAATGAAAAATTTAACGGATATTCCAATGGTATAGCTTCCGTTGAAATGATTCCAACAGAAATTCCACCGAAAATATACCGTTGGAATGAGTTTTCTATTAAAAATTTTGATGGAATTTGATGATTACAACGACTATTTTTCCAACAATTTTTTACCGTAGAAATTTTCGTTGGAATTTTTATTTCCACCCCGTTGAAAAATCTACCATTGGAATCGTCAAAATCCATCGAAAATTCCAATAGAAAACTCATTCCAACGGAATATTATTGTTGGAATCCATTGTGAGAATCTAACAGAAATTATAGCATTGAAATATCTATTGGAATTATCGTTGGAATTCCATTGAAATTTTTCATTGGAATTTCATCATTTTATTGTAGTGTTAGTTATAAGCTAGTAGCCAAACAAAACCTCACACTGCATATATTTTTGGAGGTTTTTAAAGTTAATCGTCTCAGTATGATTAAAATCGGGCTTACCAAAGGAACATTGAAAAATATGTGATTTATTAGACATACTTACACATGTCTAATATAATATTTTGTCATGTCAATGCCTTCAATAGAAGATGATATATTACTAGAACAGAAAATAAAGTAGTGAAAGATTAATATAAAGCCTAGATTCGCTCTAATTAAATCAAGACTTAAACGATATCAAATCTAGACATTGAACGTCACAATTTTCCTACACGATACAATTATTAAAATAATCTCCATTATAAATAATATCAAAACGCCCTGAGCATAAAGTGCTAATAACTTCGATACGCTTCGTAATCTTATGTGGCAAAATATTATGTTTTGTAATATAGCTCGGATAAAAGTTATATATTTTTTATACAAAATAGCTTAAATTTGGATTGCTATATATATACACATATTTAATATTTTTAAACTATTTCATAAAAATCTATTTGTTATTATTTCTATAATGTGCATCTTACTTTCCAAATTTTGTGATTTGTCCATATTATTTTTTATGTGTTTAAATAAAAATAGTATAAATAAAATTAATGATGTATATAAATTAGTTTTCAGAATTTAAAATAAAATTGTTAATTCACTTAGTTCTGTATTATAAATTGTTATATATTGTTCCTTATTTATTTTTTTCAACTTCAACNGTATAGAATACGGGTACTGTACTAATATGATTATAAAAACAAATAATAAAAAAGTACGATAGTCAAGTACGATACAACAAGATATGTACAATTTACAAGATAACATATAAAGAGTAAGATATTTAATAATATTTGAGATGAATATATGATA